AAAGCTAACCACAAGAAGACCAGACTTATATAAGCAAGTAAGATGTCTTATATGTGGATAGTATGAAGAGATAATAGAACACTTGCTAGAATGTTCAACATACAGAACTCAGTGGCAAGAAACCTGGCAGAAAGGTATGGAAGATATGATGCAAGGTTTCAACAAACTACTGGTAGATAGGAAAAAGGAGTCAGTAGAAAAAGAGATAAGCCTGGCAGTTGATGATAGAATGGAAAGAGAAGAAATGGATAAGAGAATAGCTCAACTAGTGAAAAGGATCTCAAACACTGGTCGGGATATACTCAGCTTCTGTATGGGACTGATTGAAAAAGACCTAATGAATAAGATAGCAGACTTGAAGTGCTATGGAAAGAGAATCGATAAAGAAGAAGAAAATGGATAATGAAGATGCAGAAGAAAACACGTAACCACTTCAGAAAGAAAATTTGGAAGGTCAGATGTGAAAAGATAATAGAATGGAAACAGACATTAGGAATCAACAGAGGTGACAAGATCAAAAGGCCGATACATCTACAGAAGCAAAAAAATAGTACCAAGGTACCAGGAAATCAGTCATATCAAGTACTATTAAAGGAAGAAGAATCAGAAAATGTGATGCTCAAATAGGTCATAAAAGATAAAGTAAAGTGTGGGATGAAATAGTTGGGTTTTAATCTCTGTCAGAACTCAAAAGAGTGATCTGCAGTAGTAATCTGCAGGCAATGATATTAGAAGTTGGAAGGATATTTACCTGAACTCCTAATGGAGCGATAAATTACTCTCAAAGTTGCACTTAGAAAGGTAAAACAACCAAGACGAGTGAGTTAGTTAAAGAATAAGCTTTAGTGTCTCATATTATATGTATAGTTTACAAATGTTTAATAAAACATATGTAACTAGCTTGATAGAGAACAAAAAATAATAATAATAATAATATATAATTAAAAATTTAATAAATATATAACCATTTGACAAAATTGAAATTTTGACAAATGTCTAACAATTTTTTGAGAAAATTTTTGATAAAATATAGTAAAAATAATATAAATTATATAACAAATAATGTCAAATTAATTAATTGATAATTTATTTATATCAAATTATATAGTAGAAATTGATTTATAATTTATTTATATCATCAATATACTGAATTATTTATTTTTTTGATGAATATTATGCAAGTGGCATTATGCTAAATAAATATTTTTTGACTAATGCATATTATTAAATAAGCTGTCAAAAACTCTTTCTACTAATCCTCTGACCACACACAAAGAAGACGTTCACAAGAAGTTTCAATATTTCTATGCTAATAGAGTCTTATTACTTTCCTTAAATTAACTTAAAGAGTTCTTCTAGAACTCCCTCAACTCCCCTCTTCATTGTTTACAATCTTCTTTGAACAAACTGAACTCTTATGGCCTGCAAAGTTCAGCTTCCATCTTTACTACCAATGGCAAGAAAGTTCCTAAAGGGAAAAGAATCAACAATGAAGTACCTCTTACATCTCAAGTTATGGTGGAGATAATAAAGGTTATAAACCAGATAAAGGACTCACTTTTCCATCCTTTAACTGACATTGTGATCTCTTAGAGCTACCTTTTTTATGACTTTCTGGGGAATTTTGCCTACCCCAGCTTGACCCTGAAATTTCAGATAGCACAGATCTCACCAACTCTGATTGTTTGACATGAAACACGTTGAACAAGATTGATAAACAAGCTCCTATTAGCCACTTCACGTGTCTGAATGTATTTTCTTAGCTTTATAAGAACCTAGGATCCACTATAAGTCATATGGTGTGGTGCGGGTGAATACAAGACAAGCCTCTGACACATCATAGGATACAAGAAAGAGACCGTCTGATCATGGCAAAGATTACAAGATGCTCGATTGTTTTTTTTAAAAAATCAGAGCCACTTATTCCTGATTGTATGTCAGGTAGGTTCCTGCTTCTACTGCTTGGAAAAGTCCAATCAGAAAAAATGAAAAAGATGGTCAGGAACACTCAGTAATAAAGCTAGTGCATATAATACATCAAGAAGTTTTCATCCTATCTCCAAAAAATCCCAAGTTGAAAGACTGAAAGGTTAACACCACCACATCAATCAAAACTTGAGGTCAAAAATGTCAGCAGTGACATGTGAGCCAGCCGGATAATCTGAGAGATTCTCAATAATCACTAATACCAATAGTCACCAGCAGGGTATGCCAACCGCGAGGCTAGGTGCAGTCCTTCTAGAAGGAATTAAATCTGAAATATGTTACATAGATGGGTAAGTATACCCATATTCAGATAGGAATAGGTTTAATTGAAGATATACTGGGAGACTTTCAAGTCATTTATGCAGATACCAATATATCACCTAGGCCTTCTTAATTACTCACTCCCCACAAGTTTTAAAACTATAAAATCTTTTTCCTCATCCCTATCTTATTTTCGTAAAGACTCAGGAGAAGCTTCCCCAGTCCTTTATCAAAAAGGAAATTCAAAACAGGATTGACATATGCTAAGGAACACCACAGCTACTTTATTATAACAGCACATGACTGGTCCTCTCTTTTCATTTTTCTTTTTAACTTTAATAATACCCACATACTTAATAAGATATGAGCTTCTTTGCAAAAAGAGAACAATAAGTCTCGAAGTAGTTTTAACTTATTGAATTCTTTATTTACCTCCAAATATATACCCCTGTATACGCGCATTGCGCAATTGTATAAAATAAAATTTGAAACTTAATAAAGATTAGGCATAAGCCCATTAAAAAAAAAATAAAATAAATAATAAATAAACTGATTTATAAATCAAAATTTAACAAGTTTTTATATATTTTTTAATTACATCTTTTTCTATTTTTTTAAGATTAATTACTTTTTTGAATAATGAATTTCTAATATGTAAAGTTGTAAAATATTTAAATAAAATATTTACTTGACTTAATAGATATTTTGCAAAAAATATTATTATTTAATAAAAGATTTAAAAATATATTATACAAGAAATATTAAAATCTATTTTATATTTTTCATTAATAATTTTTGTACAAGAACAATATTTAAACTATTATTAAATATTATTATTATAATTTTTTGTTTTCAAATTTTTTTATAAAATTATTAATAATTTCTGTAATATATTTATTTATATAATATTAATTAGATAAATCTTCAAACTTATATAAGTATTTATGATAATATAATATATAAATAATAAAATTTAAATTAAATAATTATTTGAACTTATTTATTTATTAAGTTTTTTTTTTTTTTTAAAACACTAGCTCATCCTTGCATCAGGCGAATGAAATTTATTTAAGCAGAATATTTAGAAACAATCAGAATAAATAACTACTTATACAGTCTAAGGATTTACAGATTAATAAATAGTATAAAGAGTTACCTATTTATGTCTCACCTAACTAGAATAAGATAGTTACAAAACCATCTAGTATAAATAATCTTCTTACAAAAACAAACTACGAGAAAAAAAAAAGAAATATGAAGTTTATGCTATATTAATTATTCTATACTTCAATATTCTCTAGAGTATAACTTTGATCAATCCACCAAATGACTTATTGCTACTTTCAAAAAAGAATGCTAATATACCAAGAATTTCATGAGGTACTCAACACTACTGATATTGAGAACTTTTCATATGAAGCCTTAACTCTACTAATATTTAACTAAAATTTTTAATAAAGTAGTTGTGTTCAAATCAAGTCTTGTCCAGAGGAACAGTATTGAAAATTCCTCAGAAAAAATCAAGAAAGAACACTATAAGAGTTCATATGGGTGACAAAGAGAGTGAATATTAGTCCTCTTGTCATAACAGTAACTCTGTAATATTCCTTTATGAGTGCAAAGGTAACAGAATGTCTGTTCTTCTTTCTTTTAAAATTTTCTTACCATTGGTAGAAAAGATATTTACATGATTTTCAGATTACTAACAGTCAAGTTTTTATTCGAAGAGGATTATAGACAAGAGAGAGGAGATATAGGTGACTTCAGAAGGTAACCTTTAGGTTGGTTTAAGGAAAGTATTAAGACTTTATTAACATAGAGGTATAAAACCTTCTTGTGAATATCTTTTTTATGTGTGATCAGAGGATCAGTGGAAAGAGTTTTGTAATTATCAATAATTCATCAAAAATTCATTGTGTTTATCCATCAAGTACTTAATAAATTAAAATTACAATCACCATTTTTGTCAATAGTTTGACAAGAGCGCACCAAATGATAACCCGTAATATCTTTTTGTTTTCGGTCAATATAATGGTGATGTGAAAATTTGTGATTTTAAAAATGTAAATATGTATTTAATTAGGCAGAGTTTTTTGTACATTCGAAGTTTAAAATATATATTTTCACCGCCCCTTATGTATGCATGACGTCGATTCGGGATTTAAAAAAGCGTTGTCCTTGTAAATTTTCAAAATAAGATCCCTTGCGTCATCAGCAAAGAAAAATTGTTTCCAAAATTGTAGACATTCTTTTAAGATCCAGAATGAGGTTGCATCTTTCCAACTAATCCCTACAATATTTACATACTGCAAATTGTATTTTTTGTCCCGGTTAATATAGGCATCAAAAAAAAAAAAAAAAAAACCTATACACAAGAACAATCCTTGGAAGGATAATTTTTAAAATTCGCCAGCAATCTGATAGCATGATTATGGGACTGTGGACCTTGTATGTGCATAGCATTCTAATTGGATCGGCTAAACATGCAGTACATCGGTCTGACAGTTTAACATTTTAGAAAAAACTGTGTTCAAAGTTGGATACGACTTTAAACGAAAATATCACGTACGACAACACATCAATTACTCAAAGTGCTGAATTAATAATGCATGAGAATCCATTGTTACCTGTGCCATTGAAAGCGGGACTTAAATGGTAATAGATATTCCACGAGAGAACCTTGTACGTGCATTCCGTGTGCGCCGATTTTTTTCATATGCATTGAGGCAAAAGACGAGAGTCCCAGTTTCAAGATGACTTCACGTAATCCGTACAAAAGAGTTATAGTCCTCGCTTTAGATGGTGAGTATTGAAAGACGATGCAGTGACATTGACATTAGAGAATAATTGATCAGTGTTCAGGTGTTGGTAGATTTTTTACAGAGGTTCCAACACCCGTCCTCGATGTTTTCTTTGCCTCGGGCGCCAGTTCATTGAAAGCAAAGGCGGTCGTGCCGACAGACAGCGCACAAAACTGGGGTTCGGTACTGCACGGCGTTCTTCCCGAGAAACACGGACTGAGAAACGGCGATGTAGAAGCAGGCATACCGTATGATGAGAATAGTCCTTATCCGAGTGTTTATAAATTGCTTGCACAAGGCTCCGACGACGTCAAGATGGCATCGTATGTGGCATGGGAACCAATCAACACTGGTATAATTGAACTTTCGGTCAAAGTCGATTTTTATGCACCTCTCACTCATGAAAATATTTTCTGGAGATGGTGGCTTCGCTTTAAACATCATGTCCTCAAGGATTCAGTTTACGATCGTAAGGTGGTCTCGCGGGTTGTCGATTACATTTGTAGTCCCGAGAACTCGGATGTGAAATTGTTGTTCGTTCATTTGACTGATGTGGATGAACACGGTCACGGTCATGGTTACGGTTCTCGGCCGTATTTGAATCAAATCAAGGTCATGGACTCACAGATCGCGACAATTCTTGAGGCGGTTGACGAGGCGGGATGGAGGGACGACTCTTTGGTAATAATGACAACAGATCATGGCGGCATAGGACGAGGTCACGGTGGAAACAGTTATCAAGAAATTAGCGTGTTCCTAGCCGTTCGTGGTATTAGTATTAAACCAAATTCGAAGATTGAAAATGAGATATCCAACATGGACTGTGCAGCTTTGATTCTCAAGGCATTAGGAAAGGAGATTCCTGAGTGGTTTGATGCCAAACTACCCACCGAATTGGAATTGCTTTTGTGACCAATGAGCATTATTCATTAGTAAACATCTCATCCGCTGATTAGATCATGCGCAATACTATGAGCTTACTCTTTATTCTATATTTGTTCATTTGAATGATATGCGTAGATGACGAATGCGCATTATTTGCTCAGCGCATTTACTGTTCACAATACAGTACATTAATGGCGCGTTATTTTTGTGATATGCATCACTTCCAAGAACGCGCAGTACCTGTATTTACATTAAAGGCCCTTCTAAATGAAACTTTCCCGGTATTTTTACTGTACAAACATATAAAATTTCGTGCAAATACTACTACTATTATTATTCATTTCTTTTTTTAAATTAAATTTAGGAGGTGGCGTTTGCAGTTGCTTTCTTGCATATGCTGCGAAAAGGCGCACCGAGTTTCCTTATAAACCAGAATTTATCCAGACTTGATACATAATCGCTGTATTATATCATATTGTATAAAGTACTTTCTTTTTCATTGGTACCCTTTATTGTATCCGATTGGATCTCACCCTGTATTGCGAGAATGAAACGCGTAAGTTTCCGAATTTTTCACCGTTACATAATCAACAAAAAAAGATCTCGACTTGTCCTCGATTTGAGAACGAACACTGATTCTTCTGTAAAACTTCACGAATACACGGGATCCAGAATTGAATTCATCGTACCAACGTCGTCATGATGTGATCATATACAGTACGTCAGACTAACAATCCCATCCCGCAGCATACAAAACGAGTAATTTGTTGTACCGGTTTCATTGCTCATCTGGTTAACGGGTTTTTGGCCGTATCTCTGGTTAAGCAGTATGGCCGGCCTATACCGTATGTATATAAAATAAAATGGAAATTTGAAAAAATAAAGACTAACTTTGAATACTGGTGGTAATGTGTGATTCCTCTTGAATCTCAATTAACTTATTTTACGCATTAACTTGATGTTTTGTGTTTAAAAGATCATGAATTATATTAATATACCTCGAAATTAAACACATGAACAAATTAGCACACGCACTTTCCAATAAATAGTTAAATCGCAATCATGCTTTAGGAATTGGGGAAATTTTTGTCAACATGCGATAAGATCCTCGCCATCGCATTCAAAAATACGACACATTACCTAACCGAATAGTTACATCACAATGAATGAGATCGACGGTGGTCAAACATTATTTCCTCCGTTAATAAAATGGATATCGCTTCATTGTGAAAGAAATGCAAACCTGATCGGCCTTTGGGTTTAGCAGTGCATGCCATTTATGGAGAAAAACTTTTCCGTTATTAAGGGGTCCCCGACATCGCTAATCAGGACTCAAACATCATATACACTTCCCGGTTCATTGATCTCTTTATAGTTTACCGATAAAATCGAATATAATTCCACATGAAAAAAATTTTTTTCAAAGCTCAGTTGTGAACCTTGGCGATTTTACCTTCACCAAAAATATACTAATCAAGGGTTTTGAGTTAAACTGTTTATTCAAACTTTTAATTAATCTCCCCGGTCTTGACTCGATGTGTGTTGCGTTGAATCATATATACTGTATACATACTGTATATATCCTTTATATCTATATATCTATCTATTGATTATTTTTATTTATTTATTTATTTTTTAATGAACTTAATCTTTTCTTTCTTTCTTTCTTTTTTTTTTTTTTTCTTGTCTCACTGTTCTGTTTCATATCTACCGGGGTTGTCATTGGCTAAATGCGATTTATGAAATAAAATTCTTGTACGCGATCAACTTAACAGTTGACAGTTTAGGAATTATATTGGGATAACAAACATTCCTAATACAATCCTCTTTTTCGAAATCTCGTTTAAAGTTGAATTCGCGGGCATTTGAGGATCCGGATAATCAGTTGACACGCAGGCGTGGAAACTCGTTTCCTATCGTTTCTTTCAGAAACATTTTTCGACATGGCGTCCGATAGAATGGTTAATAAGCATAAGATTTTTATTCACGTTACGAGCATAGGTATTAATTGCATCGGAATGAAAGAATTTGGTTAGGTCTCCAACATCAGCAAATCATTTGAGTTTCGCATGTTCAAACATTGTTAAAGAATAATTATTATACAGTAGTTTTTCCATAACGATGGCGATGCGATGCGGCAATAATGTGGAGTCTGTGCTTTGCATTATGATAGGCAAGAAACTTTTAGGGCTAACCGTAAAACTCCTATTTAAATATAATGCTCAGAATCCAAAAGGAAATCGCTTATAAAAACTTCAGGAATCCTTCTTTTCGCATATTAAATCAAAAAACCTTCCTTTTCTTACAAAAAAAAGAAAAGAAAGAACCATTTAGAATCAATTTCCTTAAATTTAAACGGCATGGGCAAATCGCAATCCAAATCAGCCCATGAAAGTAGTAGCCATCTAGAACCCAAACCCGTGAAAAAAAAGAAACAACCTCATCAGAATCCGTCCACGGATAACTTACTGGATGGTCAATTGGAAAGCTCGAACTCGATCCAGAATCTATCCACCTCCTCGAATAGATCTAATAAATCTCAATCGATGGCATCATCCATTTATAGTACATTTGGCTCTTACATAGACGAACGAATGTTTAAATGCATAGGCGGAAGGAAATTTATGATTTCGGAAGATGCCAGGTACATGCTGCCTTTTGACGACGATGGTACCATCACTTTCATTAAAATTTGCTTATCAAAGGGCTATCTGCTATTTCCGTCTAACCATTCCTCCCTCCTCCCCCAAGAGCACGCAAGGTTACAATTACAACACTTCACACTCCGGCATATCTGGGAAAGTAACTTTTCGGCCCCGATTCACGAGCTATTACAAGTTCCCGGAACAAAAGTCCTGGATGTCGGGTAACTAGATAATCATATTATCGTTATCACACGCTTATAGCAAATTAACCATGATTCTGTGTATTCAAATCAATAGTTGTGCAACAGGTACGTGGACACTGGAAATGGCAACAGAATATCCGCTTGCAAAATTCACAGGAATAGACATAATACCGATTTATCCATCTGAAATAAAGCCGAAAAACGTTGAATTTGAAATTGCAAACATATTAAACAGATTACCTTACGAAGATGGAACATTTGATTTCGTGTTTATGAGGTCGATGTCTCTGACCTTTACAACTCAAGAATGGGAGGAAGTGGTCATAAGTGAACTGATTCGAGTGCTGAAACCCGGGGGATGGATTGAAATCATGGAAAGTGATCCATTGTGGTTCGGCGCGGGTCCCGCTACCGAATTCCTCAATCGAGTTGGTACGTTTTCGATATTTCGTGGGTCTACGTCAAACTTTTCATTTTTCTAGTTATATATACTGTATATATATACATACATTAAACATTTTAGTTATCGAAGACATTCGGGCCTGCTACAACATAAATGCCCACATATCACCTCACATTTACAATTACATGTTGCAAACGCGTAAACTATCAAAAATTTACCATCTGGAAAAAAAGATAGCCGTAGGCGAATGGGGTGGTAATTTGGGCAAGGTATGTTTGGAAGATTACAAATGGTTCTCCACAAACATTAAAAGCTCCATTGAAAACATAAAGGAGAACGAGTTTAATAGCATGCTCGAGGAGAGCCTAAAAGAGTTCAAGAACAGCAAGGCTTACACAACATGCCACAGGTTTTTTGCAATGAAGACAAAGGAAAACGAGGAGCCGGAAATTGTTTGAGAGAGTCAATATTGTAATTATAAAGGGGGGCTGGCGGAAAATATTTTGCTATTTCTACAAGATACAAGGATTTCTCTGCTTATTCATTCATTCATTCAGTATTACAAAATAGATGTAAATAGTAATCTCTTGATTTTTTTTTTTTATTTTTTCGATTAATAAAATGAAATAAATCTTAGCGCAAGATAACATGGTTCCTTCTGGGGTTCCAAATGCAAGGCAAATGTTTCAGGATAAATAGGTTTTTTCCTCTGTCAATAATTTCTAGTTGTTTCCATAAAGTGCAAATTTAATTCTTTTCCAATATTGTGTCAAGTCATTATGGGTTATTATTCAAAATAATTAATTGCAAAAATGGTCTCTTATTTTTTAATTGGTTAAAATTACCATTTTCTATTGAATAAAATACTGTATATACTGTATATACACTATATATATATATATATACGTACTGTATATATACAGTATATACAGTATTTATTATGGAACAAAAAAAAATATCAAAACTTTAAATTACTATTATGCTTCAACTACTATAGCAAATAAAGATTTATTTTTTTATTTTAAAGTGTAAAAACTAAAAAAATTTTTAATACCAATTTAATACAATATATGTTTACTATCTGTTTCTATTATAAGCTCACATATATTGTGTATTAATTATATTAACTCAGTTAGAATAGAGTTGAAAATATTATGCTATTTTTCTATCAAATAATATATCAATTTTGAAATATTCTTAAGTATTTGCTTCTCTAATTTTTTTTGATTATATTTCATAGATTTTCTATAGGATTTAAGTTCAAATTTTATAATAGTCTGTTTATAACTTCAAATACATTTTTTAAAGAAAAGCTTGAATATGATAATTTGTATATTTCAAGTTAATATTTTATTAAAAATATTATTTATCATTAAATAAATCTTCAATATTTTTAAAATATTACATATATAAAATACTTATATAAAATTTAGTATTTATAATATTTATAAAATAAAATAAATTCAATTTATTATTAAAATAAACTTTTTTTACATTAAAACTTTTTTTTACTCTTTAGATATTTGAAAAATTAATTATATACTTTTGTATCAATGCTTTATAGTGTTTCTAAAAAAACAAATGTTATTTTATTTAAAAAAAAAGTTTGTTTCAATTATTATTGAAATATTTTTAAATTCATAAAACTTAATTTTACTTTTAAATATTAATAAGTATAAAAATGACTTTAAAAAAGTTTTTTTATATTCAACTTTATAAAATACCTTACAATAGTTCTATAAGATATGGTTACACTTATTGCCAATAATTTTATAATTAGGATTAATACAGAAATAATAAATTTTCATAAATATATTAATTATGAACTTTTAATATATACATATTATTATTTTTTTAATTAATTATTATTTCTAATATATTTTATTGTTTTATTTATTTTATTTTTTTAAGTATTTATATATTATTTAATAATTTGACTTTATAGTTTTTTTAATTTATAAATATTATATTTATTTCTATTTTACAAATATTATAGAATTTGATATTGAATTTCTTTAATAGAAGAAGATATTTTTATAAAATTCTATAATAAAACAAATAAATTAATACTCTAAAATATTTTTAATATAAATATAATTTTATAATAATAGATAAATAATAGTATAAATATACAGTGTCCCCCAATAAATAAAGAATCACTTAAGAATTATTAAAATTAATCAGAAATAGTTTTTATATATAAAATATTTTATTTTATTAATAAAAATTTATTTTATGTATTAAGTAAACATATTTCTT